TGTAGCCAAAAACCGCCCACAGGGTCACCACACGACAGTCCCGACGTCTGTTTTCAGTGGCAGAGGGCTGCAGGAGTCACAGCCGAAAATGGTGTTCGGGAGCCCATTTTTGCTGCCAGAGCGCTCGGGCTATCAACGTGATTGAAGTCAATCTGCCCCCGTTCCCCACCCCGAGGCCAAACACGACCCTGATGCGGCCCTCAAAAGAAATGAAGTTTGACATGCCTGCTCTAGATTAAAGTTTTCCAAACTACAGATAGTCCTTGTGTCCGCAGTCCGCAGTCATATTTCTTTTGGGTCTTTGGCCTGCCACACTTTCTATTATTCTAATTATGCATTTTCTATTGCGGGAAAATGGGAGGGGGGGATTGTACGGAGTTAGATGAGATGTAGCCATAACAACATTCTTTCCAGAAAGCCAAGGTCACCCTTTGTCTTTGAATCTCTGCATCTGACCGGAACTGGATGGGTGGAAGCTGCAAGCATGGCAGTGGGAGATTGGACCATGTGATGGACTTGTTGGGGGCAAGATCTTGAACTTTCAACTGAGTGGGGAAAACCAGGAAGCTTTCAAATTCAAGTTTTCTCAGATGTGCCAACATGGCTCCTTAAATAAATTTCAACTTTTGAGGAACTAATAGCCTTGGGGTTTGATTTGTTCAAGAATGCTATTTGGAATGCTGGCACCTTGACTTATTTGCAATAGCACTTAGATTTATATACCGCTTCATAGCACTTTTACAGCTCCCTCTAAGCGGTTTACAGAGTCGGCCTCTTGCCCCTAACAATCTGGGTCCTCATTTTACCCACCTCGGAAGGATGGAAGGCTAAGTCAACTTCGAGCCTGGTGAGATTCGAACTGCCGAACTGCAACTAGCAGTCAGCTTGAAGTAGCCTGCAGTACTGCAATCTAACCACTGTGCCACCTCAGCTCTTTTTTTACCACCATATTACCACATTTTCGTTGCTAAGCTGAGTTGTGGTCTTCGACTCACAAAGACACATTTCATAA